GAACCATGGATGCCTCAGATAAGGGTGGAAGACCCAGAGCTGCAGCCCATTCCCTAATCACTGACCCAAAAATACACATGCCCTTTGGAGGACCTGCCGCTAAAAAAAAAAAGGGGGACATGGGCATCAAAGAGACAAGAAACAGGCTCTTGTGGGTTTTTTTCGGGGGAAATTTGAGCTAAAATTAAAAACCTCTACATTGGTGTGCTACATTTAAAATCAGCAACGATTATTTTGGTCGTATCTGTTGCTGTGAGGCGGGAAGGTGGTGCTGCAACTCTGAGGTCAGAGGTTAAAGATCTACACAACCAGCTCTCTGCAGCGGTCCTCCGCTTCTGGTTGCTTTTCTCGTTTAGATAATAAAATAAAATCTGTACTAATCCCTGCAGAAAATAAAAGAAATCATGAAGAAGTCAAACTTCTATTTAGTGCCGAAGGTAGTACGCTTTGGTTATTTTAACCCTTTAAAACCAAGTTTATCATATTTGATGAATCAGTTTTTGAGACCTCATAATTAGTGTGATCTTTTTGTTCTTAAAAACCCTGACTTACACAATCAGACGCATATAGAATGCCAAATGTATCAACATTGATGCAAATAAATTAGCTAATTTAACTAGCTAATATATATATAGTAGAGTAGTGGAGTTGTTAGGATGAAGCTGTGCTCTTTGGGGTTAAAGGTTAGATATCTGTAGAGCTACCACAATGGTGGTGTTATTCTGGAGGTTTAAGAAGCATTGACAATCTCTGCTTTAAGAAGGAAAATAAACCAGTAATAGCTCTAATTATGAAGAATTGGGACTCAATGAGACAGACAGACAGCTATTTCTGCCATATGCCAATGAGCAAGGCACTTAACCTGAAGCTACACTGCAAAAAAATTTAAATCTACAGTCATTTTGTCTTAAAATGAGTGCATTTTTTTTCTTGAATTGAGGAGGAAAGTGAGACGCTTTGCAAATGGAATGAAACAATTTACAGTTAAAGTAAGAAAAAAAACTTTTGCATTGTCTTATTTCAAGTGCATATTATCTATTTATCTTATTCTAAGAGTGAAAATACTCATTCCACTGGCAAATCTCATTTATCCACTCAAATTAAGGGTAAATACACTTAATTCAAGAAGGTTTTAATCATTTCTAGATCATTTTTCCAGTGTAATTGTTTTACAAGGAATTAATTCATTCCTCATTGCGTTTGATTCTGATAATTCTTCAGGCTTTTTGCAGGTTCTGCTTATTTTCAGTGCGCTACTGAACCCCTCTATAAAAGCAGAAACTCTCATGAGGGTTGACCCTAACCTTCAGTAATTATAGTTTACCATAAAAAAAACTCCTCAACCAGTTCAACTGACCACTTAGACGTAACTAATATTCCCAAAGACAACCAGCCTATGGGATTTCAGCTGTACACTGGAAAAAGTCTAAATAAGTAATTAATTCTTAAAATAATTGCTTTTGCTTTGGATTGAGGAAGTAAAAGAGACATTTTGCCAATGGAACAAAACAATTTACACTTAAAATATGAAAACACAATTGCATTGTCCTTTTTTAAGTGCATATTATCTAATTATCTTATTTTAAGAGTACAAATACTGATTCCATTTGCAAACTATCTAATTTAGCTACTCCAATTAGGGTAAATACACTTAATTTAAGATATTTTAAATCATTTCTAGATCATTTTTTAGTGTAGCATGTATATTCTAATCAGAAACTTAACCAACCAACAGTAATTACACAAAGATTGCTTTTAATTATATTATCTGCAGTAGCTTTTTCTTTTTTTACGGAGGGCCCTGTTCCATCTTTGAGACGTTAATTCCTGTCTGATGAAGTAACCTTAGTAAAAATGATGACCTTTCAGAAGATGTTAGCCTTTTAGAAACACTTATTAAGGCCTAACGCTTTGAAAGTACTCCTACATTTTCCACCTGCTGCAATTAGCAGAAACTGTTGGTATTTTCTGGAATTATTACTGGATTATTACTGGATTAAGAATGGACTTGGATCAAGAAAGATGGAAAACCACTGATCCAGATCTTTAAATTAGGGTGCAGCATCTTTAATCATTAGGCCAGGGTTTTGCTGTGGAAGAAGCAGAGATTATACTCACATTAGTTTCTGCATGTCTCCTCTGTCTCCATGGAGGAGGAGCAGGGATGTTTTCTGTTGCAGCAGCAGATCCTGATGCTCCAGGTTGTGCAGAAACACTCCAACCAGATTCTGGTCCAACACAGTTAGGAAGCCCCGTCTCCTCTCGGCTTTCCTTATCATTCCTCCTCAGCCCTGCGAGGCCCTCCACCAGGTGGCTCAGCGCCTCAAGCTTGGCCCTGAGCTGCAGGTTCTCCTCCTGCAGTCTGGACACCGCCTCGGTCAAGGGCCGGTTGGACACACACAGCTCGTCCATCCGTTGCTCGATGCGCTGCTTGAAGGCGCTCACGTCCACGTGAACTTCCCTCACAGCAGCTTCCAGCGTGACCTTGAACCCAGCAAGAGCCTGGCTCACCGTTACCTCCTGAGCTCCTACCTCAGCTTCATCCATGGTTTCTCTAGTGACCTTCAGGGCTTCTTTGGATGCACACCCTCCCTACTTATTTAAATCCAATCCTTTAAAATGTTACTCTTAACTAATCCTAACAAATTACTGAAAACTTCCTGTTGATCTTTCTAATGCTTCAGAAGCAGGATTCCTGTTGCAGAAACTTAAAGATATCCTGCTGAGCTCCATGGAGAACTTCTCTCAGCTTCCCTCCCTGCCAGTCTGAGGATAAGTGCGGTTGCTTGTTATTTATGAGTCATGGAAAGAGTCTGAATGACACTTTGGAAAATGGATCAGTTTCTAAACGCATGCGAGAGCCATCAAACCAACCTTTCCACAGAGTCCAGTTTTTTTGCTTGCTCCCATCTGCTGCAGGACGCCCACCCCTGCTGCCCCCCCACAGCCCGCTCTGTTGTTTGAGCTATCTATGGCTGCTGAGCTGGTGTGCAGCAGGTTCACGTCTGTATTTTGGGACATAAAGGGGGCGGGAAGAGATAAAACGGGAAGGAGGGGCCAGGATTATGTAGGTGTTTGCTTCCCCTTCAGCTGCCATTTGAACTGTGGGTGTCAGTGGTGTGTGTGTGTGTGTGTGTGGCCATGTAGTCATAATGTGTGGAAAATGTGAAGCCAAATTCCCAGGAATATTCTACATTGTGGGGACTTACAGGTATTTTTATGGACCAGTTGACTGAATTTAGGTTGGGCTAAGGGTCAGGATAAGGCCATAGAAATTATTTGAGGGGTACTTCAACCAAATGCTGGAAGAGATTTTGATTTCTCCAGATTTCCCGTCTTTCAGACATAGGAAATCTGAAAGAAACTAAATGTTTTTCCTGTCCTATCCTCTTAATTTTGTGTCTCTCCTCCTTCCCCGTTTACTTCCAGCTACCCAACTTTGTATCTTTCCAGTGAAGCCCTTCCTCTCCTCCAGGTTCCCACAGACCGTCTCTCATTTTTGCATTTGATTTTACATCTTTTTTGTCTTTCCTCCTGATTTTTGTGCGTTTTACTGCATTTCCAAACTCTTTTCATCTCACCACCCCTCCATAAGTCCTCCATTTTGCTTTTTTGGCTGGTATCCTACCTCTGATCACATTTATTTTTGCCTTGTTTCCTTGGATCCTTGCTCATGTCCTTCATCTTTTCCCTTCTTTAGACCCTGTGTCCTTCCATCCTACCTTGTTTTTTCTCCTACTTGTGTCCTACCTTATTTGCTTATATCTGACCAATTAATAATATTAATGTAATTAATAATTCTATGTTCAAAAAACTAAAGCGAAGCACTGGGAACTTTTTTAAACGGGATTTAGGTCTGGAGTAGGGTTGTCAAAAGTATCGATACTCAAAAAAGTATTGATAATGAAACGTATCTGGATACAATACTGGTTTTTAAAAGTATCGATACAGTGCCACCACCAGTGGCACCTAAGTAGTCATTCATCTAAAGTGCAGAATAGAGGACAATGCACTTTCAGAACACTGTGTGACTGAATAATTCTACGCACTTTTCAGTTTTATTTTTGTTTCTTAACCGGTTTGGCTAGTGTCATTGTTATGTGTGCAAAGCATAGCCAAGGAAGGAACACTTAATTTTATAAGTTTTTTATCAGGCTTGCTTAATATTGTGCACGGCATACAACTTCTAAATATTGTTCTTATTGTTTATTGTATTTATTTATTAATGAAAATATTTCTGTTGAATTTTGGAGTCTTTGTTTTTATCCTTGTGGTATCGAAAATGGTATCGAGTATCGAATATTTTCCTTAGTATCGGTATCGAGTTGAAAAGTTTAGTATCGTGACAACCCTAGTCTGGAGGGATCAATTTTCTGCAAAAAGACCCAGAGAATCACAGAACCTCTGCCATGCATAACTATAGTCATACGATGCTTTCCCACAGATTCATTCTTCGTTTTAATCCAGAGCTTACAGGTGCAGTTTAATTCCCAAAAGTATTGATCAAACTTTAAGTTTGAACGTTTTTTTGATGGTAGGACATGACATTAAAAAAAAAAACAGTTAGCAGGTAGGTTTTCTGTTATGGAGAAGACCAAGATCAGATTTTATTCCACCGCTACGTCTTCCTTCACATTGTGAGGCAATAAAAAGACAATCCTGAACCCTACTCCTACTTTTTTTCCCTCACAGTTGCAGCCAATTTCAAACCTTTTAACTATTTCTGTCAGCGAGTTTAGGTGAGACCACATCTTCTTGTCCAGATAAACTCTTGTGCTTAAGTCGGACAGTTTCCTTCTTCGAAGAATGGCTGAGGGTAACTGGGCTTTTTGTAGCTGACGTTCCAAAGTGCTCATCTGAACAAAACTTTCTTTAAGTTAAAAAGGAGGCTGAATAAGAAGCTATTTCACATGTAAAACACTATCTAATAGAATATAAATCATATAAACTTTTATAAACTAGAATGGGTGAAGAGAGGAATCAAACAGCAAACAGTCTATCAAATGAAATTTATTGGATTTAAAGGGGTGCTCTGATTTCACAAGCTACAGTACACAACTCCTCATTTCATAAAACAGTTTAGTCACATTTCAGATAGGAAAATTTTTCCTCAAAAAAGTCACTCTACAAAGAAAGGACAGATGCATTAAATCTGAGATATATTTTATATATGTATGAAAAATTAGAGTGTTATCAAAAATAAGTGGGGCAGGAAGTGTTGGAGGTTGTGAAGGTGCTGCGCCCGGGGACAGATAGTGATATGGAAAGAGTCACGCCTGAACTCCAAACGTCAAAAACAAACACGTTCACTAAGATGGAGGTGTCCAAACTGTTCGCCAAGGCGGATAAAATCACAGGCAAGCTGAAACTGTCCGTTTATTTAGATAGCTCCACATTTTAATGAAATCAACAAAGTAGCTAAATTTGAATCCCAAGAGTTTTACTTTTACTAAAAGTTGGACGCCCATGGGGACGAGTGTTGCCTCTTTTCCTTAATCGGCAACAAAAACAGGATTGGAGTCACTTAAAAGGCAGAATCCAGATCTGGTTTTGTTTTTAACCCACAGGATATTTAAGGTCCCAATTGCTCTGAAATACAATTAAAAGCTAAACGTGTGTTTATGGTTAAGTAAGTTTTTTTGTTGTACCTCCAGATAAAATCTCACTTTAAAAATCCCTACAAAATTTGCATTGTTCCTGGACTGCAGTTGCAGACAACAATAAAACCTATTCTGTGGGCTGCTGGACACACAACTTGGACACCTCTGGACTAACGAAACAGTCACAGCAAACAAGCTAAACCTGAATAAAATAAACATTTTTATCTTAAAGTAAAAAAGAAACTAAATTATGTCTGAAAAGTAAAAAAAAAAAAAACAGATTTTCACCTCATCAAATCATAAATCCGCTATAAATCTCTTGATAAATGAAGATTCAAGAACTTTGAAATAAAATTAAACCTTTCTGTTTAATGAGCCTTTTTTTTGTGAACATCAAAATGCTTTCAATAAAAATAAAAATCATAATAAACACAGCCACAACCTGTAAACACCACCTGCCAACTTAGCTCTTTAAACTCAGTTTTGTAGATATATCACAAATAGATTTATTACAAGGCACCGGAGACCAAGTTTGGTTCACTGTCAGCAGATCAAATTCAGTCCCAGTAATAATTATTATTCTGATATATATATATTTTTTTCAATTTAGCCACATGCAGAGTGTTTGTGGTAAAAAGGGATTTTTTTTCAGCCTAATGCTGAGTAGAAGGTAAAGATATTCCTCCTTTTTATTTTAATTATCCTCTTCAGTTTAGAGGGAATAGAGGGTCAAGCTTTTCTTTACTTGGGTTATATTGTTGCTAGTTTTGTTTTTCTGTCCCCACGGCTCAAGAAAACTGAAAAAAATGGATGCGAGTGTCCGGCAGAATCAGCATGAGGTAAAAGCAAACCGAGCTGCTGCACAGGACTCCCAACAACACACTTACAAAATGTTGTAGCTTCAAATTTAAACTGTTAGTGTACAAACTGTAATGGTAACAATAAGGAAGAGAGGAACATTTGTAGCTTGGTAATGATAACTGTCATAACTTAAAGCTATGAGAGTGTTTTTTAACTGTAACTGTTAGCAAAAATCTTTCAACTAATCAAGAACAAGCGTTCATCAGTGTTCCATTCATTGGTAAATTTGTAAAGGACTTAATATTTTCCCATTTTTTATACTTTAAGGAACAAAAACGGGGACGCATCAACCTCGTCCCAACAATTTATGTAACATTTTACTCCAAGCGATTAAATAAATAAAATTAAAGGAAAGCTGTACAGTCTGCAGCAAGATTAAGAGTGTGAGTGCTGACCCCTGGTGGCGACATGTGAAAAGGGCCAGCTTCAGACTAATAATCCATTTTTATTAAAATCTACAAAACAAAACGAATGTTTTGATTTAGAAAATGAATCCTGCCGAAAATAGAGGAAGCTGATTGGCTGCATCCTTATTAGGAATAATCCAAAACAGATTTTTTGTTAAATGAATTAACCTGCGGGTTTTAAGACTAAAAAAAGGGGCCAGCTTTGTGGTGGATGAGCTGCTTTCCCCAGGGTTTAAAATAATCTAAATAATGAGCTGAATATCTTGTCTGCTCCACAGCTGTTTGCTTCAGGTTGCTATGCCCTGCATGTCTGACCGACTCAGTGTAACGCTTCTGTACGCTACATTTACTGGACCCTGTGAACATTACAGAGCAACGCGAAGGGCTGAAGATATTGCCATATGGTGGGGTTCGATACTATTTTCTCAACACACTCCAAGGCCCATTTCACAGGGTTAGTTTTAAACTGACATCTAAGACATCTTAGCTTCAATCAGCTTTTTTTTTTTTTTTTTTTAAACAAATAGATACAATATAATGTGGGAAATCTGGAATGAAATGCTCTACATTAGACACATATCCATGAAACTGGTTTGTCATCTTCATTTTCTTAGAATAGTAAAAATAAAAAATATCTAAAAAAAAGCCACAAAAATTAAATATGTTTGGTATCCAAACTAACCTAGTTTAGAAAACCTCTGCAAAGCAAAAACCCTGATCTGGAAAAGTTACCAACAAAACAATATGGGCGCATTTATCTGCAGCTTCTCCGGCCGAAACTCCAAAAAACAATCAAGCAAATCAAGTAAAAGCCCCTTTATTTTTTTTTATTTTACTGCTTTTCCTTTAAATTAGAATTCTATCTTCTTAGAAAACAGAGAGGGGGGACACAAAGTCTGGAATCTTAAACATTTTCAAGACTCAAGACTCAAAAGCCTGTATTTATGATACAGGTTAGACAAATAAAGTAGCTATTTAAAGCCTGTACTGATGCTTTTAATTTTAATGTGCAAATCACAACCAAAGACGAGAATATTTTTATTTATAACTGAACAAAACAATGAAACATGACCTTTACTACAACTGACTATGATGGTTTTGAGCCGTTTGTAGGTCTGATTGCCAGAAATTAGTTACTGCGGCATCACGTTACAACATGGCTACCATTATAAATGTACAACTAGTAAGTAAAGTGGTTATTAGGCAAACTTTATAAACCAGTTATGACCAATTAGTCAATAATTTGACTGAAGTCCTGACTCAATGAATAGTGAGCGCCTTAAAGCTGCTTATTGCTGCCTTATAAATTGCAAACAGCTATCAATGGGACTTAAGTTATAAGGGTAGTCATATTGTAAAGTGGAGCAACCGTTTTAAGACAATTGTTAGCAAAAGATAAGAAATTTCTTTATAGGTTTGTTTTTGGGAAGCAATTAATATAAGTTGTCTCTTTAAAGCATTTTTGATGTTACTCAGACACACTGGAGTTAAATCACCCACAGTTATTTTATGCAGGGAACAAAAAAGATTGTTAAACCTGCTAAACCGTTAGCATCAAGCTAACAAAATAGCTAGCATTAAGTGACAGCATTTCTGAAAAGAAGCTTATGCTTGTGATTTAACTCTGACAGCTATAAGGAATGTATTTTATTTTAATTTACTCTGTGGCTGAAGTTTAATTACCCTCCATAGCGACAACTTAGCGAACACCTGAAACTTGATGTATCCCAGCAATAAATAATTAGCAGAGGAATGCTAAAGCTAACGCTGCAGTAAAACACCATGGTTTTAGCGTCTCGCATCAGTTTGTGTAATTAAATAAGTTTATTTGAATTTCAGAGGCAACAGAGATCTGTTCAATGACAACTTAAATTAGCCTTTATGCTAAAGTTAGCAACCAATGCTAACCTTGACTCTAAATAACAGCAGAAAGCCGTCAGTGGTCAACAATACATAGACCTTAAATGTATGTAATGATTGAACGTCGTTAGAAGGTCAAAAATGTTAAATTGGGATACACTAACTGGCCACTTTATTAGGTACACCTTAAAAGTTAAGAGTTGAACCCCATCTGCCTTCAGAAGCGCTTTAAACCTTTGGTTTATGGATTCAACAAGGACTAAGGGACACTTTAGTTCACACAACCATGACCTCCAGCTCTGTCAGCTGAAGCTCAAGGTTGTTAGTTTCCAGTTCTTAGCTGGTAGGAGTTCTACCAGGTGAGGTCTTCTGCTGCTGGAGCCATCTGCTTCAAGGTTGTACGCTGAGTTGACCTTGTTTGGAACAAGAGGTTGTTTGACCCACTGCTGCCTCCATTATCTCCAACCAGTCTGACCCGTTCTTATAGCAAGGAGCCATTTTCCTTCACATAGCTGCTGCTCAGTAAATTGTTTCTTTTTCTATTTCACAGTCTATGAACCGATCATAGGTGAAACCCCCAAGGTTTTATGTTAAGACTTAAATCTCTTCCTTGTTCTGCTGCTGAGCTTCAACAAATCATCTTCATATCTAGATCCCTAAATGCACACAGCTGCAGGGGATTGTCAGTAATGTTTGGATTGAGCAGCTTGACCTATGGTTTTTAAAACCAAAATTAAAATAATCTAATAATGCAAGACTTAAGAATAAATCTTTATCTTATATAATGAAATTATGCAGCTCCAGATGCTGTTTCACATCAAAACACTTCAGGTGTATTCAGACTATTAGGGTTTCTGCAGAGTTTAGATCCTGAATGCAAGCCGTCTTTGTTTTGATTCATCAAGGAAGAATTTAATAAGATGCATTTTTTTAGATGGAGTCAATGATCACATTTGTAACAGTGGAACTAATTATCTACCTAATAAACAACCAGCAGTCTGCTGGTTAAAGTGGGGTACCCAATAAAGTGGCAATTTCCAGCAGAAAACTCTCAGACCAAATGAAATTGTCATCTTCAGAAATGTGTGCCAACAAAACACATTGAAATAATGTAATGAAATGGGTCTCATGGCTTTTAAATAGAAATGCTACATTTATATTAATTTTTATGGGTTGATTTTATCATCTTAAGACTTGTTCTGGCTCCTGTAACCATCATGAAAGTAGAGAACGGCTCACTTCAGAGTCACACAGCAGCAGAAGCTGGAACTCCCTGCAAACCTTTAACAGCAAAATACCTGTATGAACAGAAGCAACAACAAATAACAGTTAAGCTTTGAGGTATCTAGGTTATGTTTAAAACCTCAGATTTAAAAAATAAAGCAAACAAACTGGAATAAAGGCTGGAGACAGCTGTCCTAAAGCAGCAACATCTCCTGACAGCAGGGGGCAGCAGAGGACTCACTCGACTCTGCAACCTCCTGCACCTTTACAGCCCATTAACCTGACTGGCAATGGACCAAATGGATGAGAGAGCAGATATACTGAGGTGAGAAACAGCGACTGTGAGCAGAGAACCATCTGCAGGGTCTGAGGTGAAAGAAAGCCAGACTGATGGGGTGTGCAGAGAAAACACTGATCTGCACAAGGAGAGAAGACAGGAAAGCTGTTAACATGGAATGCTTCCAGCAATGGTGGCAAGAACCCGTCTGCTTTCTACTCTCTCCTCAGTTTAAACTGATCTCCCATAGCAGAGCTCTCACTGTGAGTGAGGAGCTCAAGATAAGACGCAGATAGCTAGACCTTCTTCATAGTTTCATTAGAGAGGAACAAAACCTGCCTTAACTGAGGCAATGAAGCCTTCAGAGCGATAGATGTTGCTCTGGTCCTTTTCTGACCTGAAGAAGAGTCACTGATGAGCGATGTTGGCAGGGTGGGGTGGGAGTACGGGGCTCTTAACTCACTGCAGGCTGAACATATTTCAAATGAAATTACGTTTTTCCATCCAAACAGAAAAAATATATATTTTTAAGCAGGCAGAACATCTGCCACTTTGAACCCATCAGTAATCCACACGTCGTCCCCAGAAGAACAAGAAGTTGAATTCAGTAGCACATCCTGGCTCAGCTTCACCCACTTTTCTGCTACACCTCTGCTTTGTCTCATAGCTTATGTGAATTCATTCGGGCTAGTGTTACAGATGCTAACCTAATGCCAGATCTTCAGCTGTTACTGATAGCGATGGTAAAAACCAAATGAACGTGATTCGGTCAGCAGTCAGCTCAGCTGCAGTCTCAACCATCAGTAGTGGACTAAATCGTTTAAAGACAACGGTTGACTGAAATAGAAGATTAAATCTGACATGGGATGAGTGGCTCACTTGGTTTCGCCCTGACTGCACATAGTGCATGCACCTCGGTGTCTGCTGCATAGAGTGAAGCTACAGGAAACAATAACCCCTCTTAAACACAAACCTATCATCAAACCCTAGATCTGAAACTAAATATAATTATATCTTTCTATACAAATTTCATGATACAACCAAAAAAAAAGAAAAAAAATCAAAAAGTACTGATTATCTTTCAGATAAATATCTATTAGTATCAGGGAATGGTCATTTTCGTTTAAGATGTAGAGCAGGTTTAATTTAAGCTAGAAAATAAATTTAATATTAAATCAAAACATGATTTAAATCTTTTAAAAGAACATGATATATGGCCGTTCTTGTCAGCTGCTCTGGGCAAAAAACAGACGGCTTCACCGTGGCGCTCTGCTCTGACAACGTACGTCTGCAGCTGACATGTAAAATCCAGACATTTCTGGAGTGGGGGGGGGATTAATCAGCCACAGCTGTAACATCTATAGATCATGTTTGAATAGCAGACTTATGTTTCAGTGTATTGCCTTCGTCATGAAAATCAAACAGCTAAATCTAAATAGAAAGTGTTTTTTTTTTTTTTTAAAGGTTGAACTTAAAAGGCTATATTACAACAAACCCCGCCCCCTTAACTGCTCATTGGTCAGCCTGTCTATATGCAAGCGTGACTGGTTGGCTTTGATATTCACTGCTTCCTGATCTAAATAAAGCCGTTTGAAAATAAACTACCGAAAAGGGTTAAATGACCCCGACGAAAGCCGCACGCCGAAACGCTTCTGTCTGTCCATAAAGTGGGTTTCCGCACTTTACGAGTTCGTCTCAAGTCTGTCCAGGTGAGAAACTAGTATTGAACCAGAACCTGAGCTATTATCGTTTCCCCAGTGTCCCGCTCCCACCGCTCCCAGCATCACAGGGGGCGCTCCAGTGTAACCTAAACTGAGTTTATGCCATGAAAATGCTAATTCACATTGGAAAACAATAAAAAAAAAACACAGCTGTAAATGAAAACTTTTAAACTCCCCCCACGACCAACCGAAGGCTTTCCTCAAGGCGACTTAAATGATGAAATCAGATCATAAAAATAAGCCCTTGAAACTTCGGACACTTTTAAGAAACGTATTCTCTCTTGAAAATAAGAAAAACATAACCAATCGGTATAATTGGAATAATAAAGCAGATTTGTAACCGTGCAGCTGTGAAATGTAGATGAGGTGGCGGATGTCGCTGGCAGAGCCCATGGATCACAGCTCACTGGTGATAAAACAAAACCACGTGACATCCATCCGAACTGTAATAAAACCATAAATTTAAATACGACCTGTGGTAACAGCCTCTCGCTGTAACAAACCTTCCCGATCAGCAGCAGCTGTTAAAACAGCAGGAGTGAAAGATAAGATAAAGTCTCCCCCCTCGTCCCCTTCACTCCGCTTTTCTCCTTTTCCAGGTGACCTTTCTCCAGGACTCTAAGTGTGGAAGAGTGCAGCACTTGAGAGTTAAAAAATAAAAATCAAACAGAGATCCGATTAGGCAACAGATTTGTTACAGAGGAGTGTATGGGAAAATGCCCAGGAGTAGTGGAGGGAGAGAGAGCAGGCAGTCCTGGTGTACTACAGCACGATAATGGGGTTGAGTTAGTAGCTGAGTGAGCAGCCTGATCGAGGGAGAGCAAACTGGACATCAATCCTCCTTGGAGCCGTCGGCCACAGGAGGAGACTGCGGCCCGCGGCTTCGCCTGTACAGCCGGTAGCCCTTTCTGCAGAGCAGCACGAACCAGTAGACCTGTGGCGCCAGGATGCACAAGTTGCCCAGGTTGGCGGAGAGAGGCAGGTGGAAGGGGACGCTGTAGAGGGGGATGCCATAGTGGCGGCCGTACATCCAGTACATGAAGGGGAAGAGAGCGATGCGGCACATGAAGAACGTGACCAGGACCATGCCGCCGTTGGCCTTATGCAGCCAGCAGTCCTGGAGGCTGAGCTGGTGGACGAGAGGGTGGGGGGGGGAGGGGAGAGAAGAAGGAAGCCGTTAGAGACAGAATCCAACAATGAAACCGGAAAATATGGCTGAAAAATATCAGTTTAATAATCAGGTACAGGAGCATGAACTACACCAGCAGCATCGCTGCAGACAGAAGGAAGGAAGGAAGGAAGGAAGGAAGGAAGGAAGGAAGGAAGGAAGGAAGGAAGGAAGGAAGGAAGGAAGGACCCAACACTATTCATCTAAGGAAAATCTTTAGACAA